TAGGGCAATGGTAGGAAAACTCAGCTAGTCATTTGCAGTGATGTTTACTACAGTGGAAACATCTTTTCTTGAGGAAAAAAAGGGGGTATTACTCAGGTACCGATAGCTGGAAGTAATAAGCAACAGTTTTCACAGTGAGAAAAGATACCAGCTGTGTCCCCAAGGACCTGTCTGGGAACCTGTGTTATTCAAGGTGCTCGTACATGATCTGGAAAAAGCTATCAATAGCGAGATGATCTTAATGAATGATAAAAACTCACTCAAGACTGGATTAAAAGTGAACAGCAATGAACTGTGGAAGACTGTCACAACGCAGCGTTGGAAAAATAGTAAATGAAACTCATTGGTAGTAAGTACAAAATAACGATCATGTTAACCAGTAGTTTTGTGAGCACAGGAACTAATGAAGCCTACTTCTATAACCAGCAGTTGAGTGACATTTTAATTGAATTATATTAAGGCTGCAGTGTGACTTCAGTCTTTATTACACATAAGAGTCCACAGAGGAAAGCCCTGACTGAATTCTGTAGTATCTAATGAGACATTACATCTCGTTGAAACTTTTTTCCTGCACATAGGGTACTCGGGCTGCTCACTCAGGTCTGCAGTGACTAGTAAGAGCTAGATCTAGAGTGCGCAGTGCCCTCATTGCACACAGTCACGATACCTCCTTGTCTGGCTTCCCATTTCTTCAGTTCTGGGCTGCCAGCTTTCACAAAACTTACGGAAACTTTAGATAGCAACACTTGTTTAATACAACTTGTTTAATTTGCTTGAAATTAAAAAGTGAATGTAAAATTTAAAGGTAATAACTAGGCATTCAACAAAATATTTCAAGAACCATGATCAATATAATCTCACATAAATTTTCACTGCTGTCAGAAGGAGCAGCCCTGCCTTCCTCTCCCTCTCATCTTCAGTTACTCACCCCCTGCATGCTTCACTTTCTTCTGCTTTTTGTTGGTGCTGGTGTACATACAGCCACTCAGCAAGCTGGATCAGTCTGAAAACTACTCCAGGAAGAAAATGGTTAGTTTTTAGTTTTTAACTAGATTAGTTTGTCTAGTCCCAGTGCAAGATGGGGGCAGAGGTGGCTTTTCTGGCAGCACTGCAGATCTATACCAGATTAAGCCAAGTATAAAGCTGCCTGGATCCTGACAAGTTTAGTGCTAAGTGTGGCATTCCTCTATCTCTGGCATCTGTGAGGAAATGGTTTCAGGTTGTGAACAATGGGTCACGCTATGTACAATATACAGTAATTTCTGTGTGCTTTCACGACCTGTCCAGAAAAAAAAATAATTAAGGCTACTGCTTTTACTTTTTTATAAGCAAGTAGAATAAGAAAATTTAGCTAGGGTGCAGAATTGACATTCAGTCTCTCCTCCTCAGGCATTTGTCTGAAAAGACCAATGGCTGCAATGAAGAGTCACTGGGAAGGGCTGCATAGCACATCCCAGGCAAGCGTCCCAGCTGCTAGCCCAAAGACTGATGCTCCTGCTTGCATGGTCCCCCTCAGTGAGCTTAAGAGTGTCCTGTACTTCGGCAGTCAAACATCCTTGACAGCACACAGTGGGTACACACATTAAGAGTAGCCTGTACTGTAGTGGTGTTAAGGTAGTTTCTGAAATGTCTGAGGTAGGGGCTTGTTTCTTTTCAGGCCCATATCACTCACAATATGGGAAAACTCCAGTATAAAGTAAAATTCAGTGAAAACTGCAGAGGAGACTCAGGAGAAGGCCACCATCATTGTTTTGAAATTTAAAAAGTGTCCTGTGCTTTGTCAAATGTTGGAAGAAAGGACTTCTGGTGCTTACCTTGATGCACAGTCTCAGTGCTGGGAACCCTGGGTGGAGGGAGGCACCCTGGGCCCGCGGGAGCATAGGAAGCCTCGGTTCCCTCCCGTGAGGAACGGCACACACAAGATACCTTCATCTTTAGCATTTCCGACTGACTGCTCTAACCAGTTTCTGGGTTGTGCCTGGTAGTGACACTTCACATGTATTCTGTGTGGTTTTTGCTTTGATTTGTGTGGAGACCTACTTACGTATTTTTTGCTTGTTGTGGATCCCTTTTTAAGGCACCTAAATCTTCGTGTGCATTGTTTAGGGAGTCTGGACATAAGGGTTGGATAATGAAGTGCTTCAGTCCTCCTGTGAATCTGGGTCATGGCAACCTTGTTTTTCCCCACATATGGAAGAGTGAAATCATATCACTTTTTAGTAGAAATATTACTGTAATTGAAAATTTATTTTAAGTTTCTAATGTCACTGAGTAGGTACAGTTTACGAAAGCGAAAGTCTTTTTCTGCTACATTAAAAAGAATAAACAAAACCCCCAACATAGCTCCCTTAGAAACACCCTCAGCACTCTCACTAAGTTTAAGAGCGCATATGCAGAGAGTACACTTGTGTATATTCTCCAGTAATGATTTTGAACACCAATGTCAATAGTCAGGAAGTTTCTTCAAAAGCCAGAGAGCCCCCCACCTTCACCGTAATGCTCTGAAGGCCAATAATGAAAGCCAACACATCATACAGGATTCCATTCATTAACAGTAATTCCTTAAGACTTAAAACTAATGCATTAATCACGTTAATGATAATCCGTTAATGTGAAGAACCTGAAGATAAAAAGGTAGAATCAGGGATATGCTCTGTAGCAACAGTGTTACAGTTTTAGGGTAATACTGAATTACAAAATTAGCCTGTAGGCTGACTAGGGGATTAACCATGTGAGCAGAGTGTATGAAGTGAATACCATGGTTTAGGAGAGCAGAAAAAGATGGCATAGAATATTAATGTTTCTACACAGGGGTTGGTTTGCATTGAGGGTGTAATTTGGAAAGGTGGCTCTAGATGGTTGCTTCTTGAAATCAGGCCCAAAGTATTTGAGGACCAATATTGTAAATGTTTTATTTAAATGAGTGATACACTTGTTTACGTTGTGGCAGAATGATCCCTATATACTGATCTCGATATCTTTGTATCAGAGGGCAGTAATGCCACCACTTTGAACACTTACAGTTAATTATCACTAGAACATTTTGATAATGACAGTGTATTTTGCAATATGAACAAAATGAGGGGAGAAAAAAAGAGTTTAGAAAAAAAAAAAGGCCAAACAAACCCTGGGAGCACTGACTTCAACAAGTTCAACAAATATTCAAGCCACATTTAATAACTTTATGAAACTAGTATCAAAGTAAAGAATATATAGTCAAAATACAGAAATAAAGTTGAGTGAGAGAAAACAGCCTGATGAGATCAAACAAAAGTTAAACAGAACAGATTAATATAAACAAGTTAGCTGAAAGGTCGCTTTGCGTAGCAGTATTTCAGCAATTCCTTTCCTCAATAGCCAGCTTAGAAGGAAGAGCTAATCTGAAAAAAAAAAAGATATGCACCACTTTAAAATCCTGCTGTATGTGTTACTGTGATTGTTTGTAGAAACAGCATCACCCCAATTCGCAACCTATGTTAATTTCTTATTTAATAAACATAGTGGATTTTTTTTTTTAAAGAAAAGTGCAGAATGAAGTGTCTGCATTCAGCTTTCCATTACACATACATTTATCTTTCTATTGGCTATGAATCCTTTTATTTGTGAACTGCAAATGACTAGAATTTGCTTACACTTCCAAACCTTTTGTTTGTCATAGATACTTCACTTCTAAAGTGTCTGATGTAGCACTCACTAATTACAGAATTACAAAAGGTAGAATAAGGCTTTCCCTGCTCAGAAATTTGCATTTTTGGTAAAGGTAACAATATATCAGCTTCACTATCACCCTAATAATAGGCATACTTTAAATTTTATATCACCATCCTTCCGAAGAAAAAAGAAAGAGATGTGTGCAGTTGTTTTTTCCTTAGTATAAAGTTTTCAAATCAGAACTCATTTTGCTACAATAAACACTATGAATTACATATAAACATATATGGAAAACAACATGCCAGGCTTTATAAAAAAAGAGTTTGATTAGCAGATGACGATTCCGTAGTGCTATTGTACACTATCCTGTAAGCCCAGAGATATAAAAAAAAAAAAAAAAAAAAGTTAACCAAACCAGTTTTGATGCAGGTTTGGCATCAAGTGTACATTATGGTCTTAGACTCAGTATGCTCATTCTGTGGTTGAGAAAATTAAAGTACCAGATTTTTCCACATCAAGATAGCAGGTAGCTGGTGCATACATTTCAGACAAGAGAACTAGGATTTCTTTAATTTGAGACTGGATCAGTAATCTATTGTTAAAATGTCCAAAGTGTGCAATATAAGGCAGATTTCTTATTACACCACCTCTTAAGATACTCATTGTTTGATGAAACAAACAAGGTGCTTTAAAACAGCAGAGTAATAGGATACAAACAAGTGCCAGAATGAAGGAAAACTGCTAAAACGGGAACTGCCCTTTCTTTCACAATGAGAAATAAAAGAACTTTTGTATCTGGTATTTGAAAGGTTTTTAACAGCTGATACTCAATATCAGCTGATTCCTGAAGTGTTGGCGAGATACCAAGTTTCTGGTACTGGCCATTTCTAATGTTATTTAAATATTCACATCATGCAATAAGCAGTTTCACACACTGCAATGTAATGGAAAATACTTCCTAAACCGAATCAGAACTGAGACCCAAAGCAGAACCAGTAAATAAATATCTCGCATATATGTCAAACTATATTCTTCAAACAAAACCTTACATCTTATCAAAGAAGTCAGAAAGTACTAACAAAAATTATATGCTTTCTACTATAATACTGTTAAATTTCCAATGGCTGAGAATGTCCCGTTAATTTTTTCTGCCTTTTTAAATTAGTTGACAAAGTAGAAATTCAAACACAGAAATCAAATGCATATATATGAGAGCACTGGCTCAGCGAGATATCAAATATACAGCATTCTAGTGTCAAAAGTACAGGCAGAAATGTCCAAGATTTCTTGGTGAAAAGGGGGCATCTGAGGAGTAAAAATTCTACTTAACAATCACTCACATTTTAACAGTGCATTAATTATAACAAAAGCTGGATGATAAGTGAGCAACAGAGTCATAATGTTCAGTGTTCATAGCAGAATTTTATCCTCTGCTCATTTAAATGAGGTTGGAAACATATACTCATGTATGTGAAACTTTAAGTAGCTATGCTTTTTCAATTTTTCAGGATTCTTGCAAGAGGCAAAGTTGTGACATTGAGTTGAGTTGGATGATAGTACAAGGTGGCGTTGATAGAAGTCTTCCTTTCGATGCTGTGCCTCTGGCTTGTCAAAGGATGATTAGTCCTACCATCTTATTTGATCTATTCTTTTGCCTCTAGGAAAAGGGTTTCTTGAGGATACAGTTTTATCTCCAGTAATGATTTATTTGGGTCCAGCTGGGTCACCTGTACAGATAAGAACAAGAAGATATGTGTAAGTAGACTTCTTTGAACTGTTTATCTTCACAGGGCAGATTTTCACTGGGTAGACTTTTGAGTCCCTCCGTCAGTGGTAACTGAAGTTGTGAGCGTGAATTCCCAGGATGCAGATTAAGAAATATATATTGTATTTTTTATTACTATTATTATTATTATTTTGTAATAACAATAAGCAGAATAATCATAAATGGAATCCACAACATTAATTCCAAGACTTAATGGTTTTCCAGCATAAACCAATGCATGAATATATCTGGTTTTGTCAAAGTTAAGATCTTTTGGAAGGATTATTGAAACACCTGAGTTAAGATGATAAATAAAACTGTAGTCACAGAGAAGTATCCTAAAATGTCAATCAAACTGATGGTGCAAGCAGCATAGCCAATCCAACATGATCTCTCAGAATCACAGAATCACAGAAACACTAGGTTGGAAAGGACCTTCAAGATCATCAAGTCCAACCATTAATCCAGCGCCACCATGTCCCCTAGACCATGTCCTGAAGCGCCACATCCACACGTTTCTTGAACACTTCCAGAGATGGCGACTCCACCACCTCCCTGGGCAGCCTGTTCCAATGCCTGACCACCCTCTCAGTGAAGAAATTTTTCCTAATATCCAATCTAAACCTCCCCTGGCGCAACTTGAAGCCATTTCCTCTTGTCCTATCACTAGTTACTTGGGAGAAGAGGCCAACACCCTCGTCGCCACAACCCCCTTTCAGGTAGTTGTATAGAGCGATAAGGTCTCCCCTCAGCCTCCTCTTCTCCAGGCTAAACACCCCCAGTTCCTTCAGCCGCTCCTCATAAGACTTGTGCTCCAGACCCCTCACCAGCTTCGTTGCCCTTCTCTGGACACGCTCCAGCACCTCAACATCCTTCTTGTAGTGAGGGGCCCAGAATTCAATTCTCCATTGAAAGGGGAAACTTACTCTACCTTTATTTTCTTACTCCTTTTCTGGCTGCAAGTCACATGATGACGCACCTAACCTTCACTCATTTTGATGTTCATCAGCCACCTCAATGAACTTAAGCTGGGAGAAAACTGTCCACTTTTATGTGTGTGGTTTTATGTGTGTGGTTATTTTTCTGTCATGCTAGTGAGCTTAACACAATTCTTAACACAGAAAACACAATTCCAGTCACCACCAAATCCAGTGCAAGGTAAGTAGCAAAAGCACTAAGCAGTAAGTAGAAGGGAGGAAGCGGGGCCCTCCTCCTTTCATTGGGAGCGAGATGCAAAATCAGCTCACCATATGGTGAAACTGCTGTCAACCCAACTATCGAAGTGTATACTTATAATACATGTATTTATATATACACACGTATAATAAGTACTGTGTGTCTGTGTATCATTTATGTAGACACTTAGGTGTGGACATTTGTATTACAAGATTTTTCCCTGGAATCTTGACTCATTGTTGGATTTGTAAAGGTATTTAGGCAATCACTTGTGCAGGTGGGCATACAGGAGAATTCCAGTGAAAGTTAAATGCCATGCAATTTGGAAAATAATGATTCAGGCACTATCTGCACCATTATTGCCAAAATTATTCAGCATTTGGATCTTGGCACCAAACCCTGCAAGCTGCTCAACATCCTGACTATCCTATTACTGACTTTCACTTAAGGTACATAAGCAATTCTCAGTTTATAGTCAGCAAGAAACTTTTGTGTTGAGGATTCTGTTTAGAAGCTAGACTGCTGCCTATAGGATAAATCTCTTCTATGAAAATAACATTTAAATAATTATATTGTGTAATATTTCCAATTACATACACAAAGTAATGATGACAAGGGTCCTAGTGTCCTTCAGACATTCAGATTTACATGCCAACGCTGTGACATCCTTCAGAAGACTACCGCAAAACCTCATATAGAAAGATGAATGTTATTTCTTTTAATCTTACCATTTTCTGAAATACTTACTTCCATTTTTAAACTTACTTTCCCTGGTAATTCTGTTTTAGTTCATTTTGCTGTGTGAGCACACTAGTTATCAGAAGTTTGCTTGTGAATAATAGATTATTAGTCTTACGCTAAAAACATGAAGTGTCAAGCACACCAAATACTATGAATTAATAAGAAATGCTAAATTTATTTTTTTCTTAAAAGTGTAACTTGCTAATCCTGTTACCAATTAATAAAAACAGTATTGCTCCCCTTTCTCTCCCTCCCCAACTAAATCAGGCAAACTTAAAATATTTTTGTATTTCCATTGTTTTATTGGATAGTAAGTTTTATTTAAACTGTATTTAAATAAATTATTTAAACAAGTATTAAAAGCTTATCACTTCCACTATCTGCAACAGAATTAAAAAAAAACACAAACAAACCAGAATTAAAAAAACCCAAACAGATGCATTATTTTTATTCCCAAAGTAGGAACACATTCCTTAAACTTCATGTACCACAGTGCACTATCATTAAATATCTGTAGAGAAAAATCATTTATAAAAGCCAGACTCAATTTTAGGTTGCTATTATCTACAGTCCAATTACGCATAGATGCTGCTTAAATTATTGAAAGGTTATTATCTAAGAAAGCAAACCTGTTACGTAAAAAACATTCAAAGTAGTGCATTTAAGTTTGTGATTACAGAAGTATGCTAATTAAGTATCTTGTTGCATTTTTTAATGTTTTGGTATCTGCTACAGTCCATTATTGCACATAGGCACAGAAAGCGAGGTAAATGGGGGTCTCTGCAATTCACAGCATATGAGGTATTGTGCACCTGAGAGAAGCAATTTTCCTTCTTTTCAAATCAAGCCAGTATCTAATTAAATCTCTCTATTTTCAAACCCTGCAACCTTTTTTTTCAAGAAAAGCTAGGAAAGACAGAATAAGTCTCTTCTGTATTTGGAAAAAAAAAAATCTGAAAAGCAAGCCTAGGCAATGAACACAATCTTCTAGACTGTAATCATATGGAAACCTATTATTCACTTGAGCGTAATTCAAGATACATATCCTAGTCTAAACATTAAGGTTTGCAAACTTCAGGTACTTTAAATAACAACAATGCCTGATGTCCCTTCCTCGATGTCTTCATTCTTAGAAGTTTAGCTAAAAGCATTGTGTAGTACCTGCAGCAAAAGGATTGTGCAGCTTTTCACCATAATTTCAGTGTGCTGCTTAATTCACTGAGGGACAGCAGAGTTTGCAAATGTTTACACCATTACCCAATTAACTAACAATATGGCTCCTACATCTGTCAACAAACAAAGCTGTTGTTGCTTTGTTTTAGCTCCTTGGCATTTTCTGTTCATATGGGTCGCCATTGTACTTAATTATCACACCATAACCCTTCTGCAGCTTCTACTTTGTTATCTGTGGTTTGCAAATATGTTGTTTACTATGAAGAATAGAAGCCTTATTAGTGAACATAACTCCTACCAAAAGAAATGGTTTCTCTTGTAAATACGTGAAATAAGACCTAAGATGCTTTGTAACTTACAGTATTTTAAAACAGAATTAGAAACCAAAGAATGAGATATAATAGAGATCAAAGGACCCTGGAAGAGCTGTAGCCCAAAGGTGTGTCCAATGTGGTGGTGTAATGAATTTTATTCACTTAAGTAAATTTATGTGGATTATTTCATAATGCAAAGTATTGAAATGCCTTCATATTTAAATCTGTGTACCTTGTTTCATTACCATTAGGATAAATTCTGGAGTCCATTTCAGTGCTGACAATCCTTTGCTCTGATGTCATTGCATGGCGCTCTTTTCAAAACAGCCCTGCGCATTACGTAAGTTACATTGTCCAAAGCCCCTATACCTTTATTACCTAAACATATTTTGTATATTGTTGGAAATCATTTAAGCATGTATTAATATACTGAATCTGATTTGATCCTGTTGAACTCAATGAGATTACATAGGTACCCACGTGGTGAAATCAATGCTTTCTTGATTAAGATTGCAAAATTAACCAAATTAAGCATTCAGCATTTGTTAAAGGCCTAAACAAATGCTAAAAGCATAGTGTTTCTCTATATTTTCAAGTGCTACAATATCTGACTTTCTACCAGTTGCATGCTTGCATTCTAAAAGTCCAGTCACACATGGTGATACCAGCTGATGAGGTGAATGTATTTTTAAAATATTTTTTATAGTTTTGCTAAGGTAAGTACTTTATATTATAATGAAATGTAAACTAACACCCCTTAAAAACAGATTCTAAGCTGTTCCAAATTTACACAGTGAGGAGGGTGGCAGAGGAAGGACACAATATTCAGATGCTAAGAGAGTATAACTCAAGTGACAGCAAAATTGCTGATATTCACGCTCACGGTATTCCGTAGACTAACACGCATGCGCATTCAGGGCTGTGGCAAAGCCAAAGCAGACAGTGTCCTGAGAGTTTTCATCTTCAGGCAAATGACCTTCTATGAAAACTTTAACACTCCCTCTCTTCACGGAAGACTCTTTCTAGCAACATGACCAGAGGGTGGTAACAGGACCTCATTTCTATCAGTGAGAGATCTTGCCACTGAGCTATGAAATGTTTCACTTTCACTGAAATAGGTTTAAGCTGGTAAAACAACACTTTTCTTCCAGCTATAGATACAATTTTACAGGACCTTACGCTTTGGTCCACTGGAGCTAAGCCTTTATCTTTTAAAGAGCTTTGTTACAAAACAAAGTGTTGGTTTGGTGTACAGAAAATTTGTTATTTTAACAGGTATTTGTTTAAATTAATTATGTGGTAATTTCAATGAAGCACTAGCTATCTGGTTTGAAGTACTTCTCTGGCACTTTGAAGTTTGAATGATTTAAGACTGCACAAAACCAAAAGATGGTAACGTTAATGCTTATACTTCTCCTGTAACAATGTAGAAGCTACTTACACTTTATTCAGCATAAATTCCTTGGGTTTTTAATGACCCAATAATGAAAATTAATACTAGTCTAAACAATATTGTAATACATTTTTGTAACAAAGTCTTTTTCCTTCTAGGACATTT